TCATCTGTAAAAGGGGGACAATGACAGCACCATCTACTTCCAGGGCTGTGTCCAGGGTCACATGTCAAGGACACCAGGGGACCGCCAAGAAAGGTTAGCGGTCATTGCCAAGGGCCCAGCCAGCCCCTTGCGCCCGGCTGGCCTTGCCATCTGCGTCTGGACCCGGGCCTCGCCACAGCCTGGACATGTTGCAGAACTCCAGGCAGTCTGCAGGTCCTGCCGGCTGCCGGGTGGCCGCTGTGCCACCAGAGGGGAGGCCTCGAGTCGGGCATTCCCTCACCCCTTACTGCTGTCTGATTTCTCCCCCCTCCCTATTTTTACATCCTTTTGCCAATAATCTGAAGCCTCCCCTTTCTGAATATCCAAATTTTGCTAACCACACCTCCTCCTGGGAGAGGCCGAGCTCTGGGTGGTGTGTGGGGGGCGGGCAGGGGTAAGACAAAGAGGGAGACCCAGGGATGCTGGTGTGGGAGTGGAGCAAGAAAGAACTTTCCACATCTCAGGGTGGTCCCAGCACAAGGGCTCTCATTATTAGAATACAAGCTTAAAGATGTTCCATCGGGGGTTAAGCCTGGCCCCATTTTTAAGGGCCCTTCTGGCGGGGCATCCTTAGGGACACGAAGCCTCTCAGGGATTCTTTGTAGAGGATCACTGTGGCAATGGCCGGCGAAGCAGGAGCAGCAGGGACTCAGGTTTAAATCCTCTGCCTCTTGAAAGCCATCCTGGGCACCCCGGGGGAAAGAGGACTCAGTTTACACACACGGTGTGTGGGGTGATGATGTTGGTGTTGGGGCCATCTGCAGAGCGCTGTAAGCCAGCACAGACAATGGGCTGAGTCTTCCATACAGAGTCGGTTGGTGACCTCTTCCTCCTTTTCTGATGTGTACAGGAAGAACTTGTTTTTCAGATAGCAGGAGGCACTTCCTGAGAGATACAGACCCTCACATCATGAGCCACATGAAACTGGGGTGCAGATAAAGACTGGGGCCCTGTCCAGGGAAGGACTTGATGTTCACCCACCCACCAGCTCACTGTACAGGCGAAGGATCCTTGCAGTCAGACCCCTAATATCACCATGCAGCTTGGGGTTCTGGACCAAACGCTGTTTGGGGATATCTGAACATAAGATATTAAGGAATTCCTGTTCATTTTGTTCGGGGTGGTGGTGGTATCATAGTGATATAGGAAATTGTCCTTTGGTTTTAGAGAATGCATCTTAAAATAATGTGTGGTGCAAGGTCATAATGTCTATACTTGATGTTAAAATACCTCAGCCAAAAAAAGGGAAATGATGCCAATATTAATTGTTATGGGTTATCGGTTGTCAAACCCAGGGATTGGGATGAGACGAGCACGGGACGTTCCTATACTGCCATTTTGCTGACATCACCCCAAGGACTGGCTATTTCCATGCTCATTATATTCTTCTCTCTCTCTCTCTTTTATACGTTTAAAAATTTTTTCCACAGTAAAAAGTTAATTTAAAAAACCCATAATGTGGTAGAGAGATAAAGCTGTGTTTCTTTTACTTCTGAAATACATCTAAGGTATGGGAGCAACTTTGCACATATTATACATTTGTGTTGGGAAGTCCAACTGGGGAGGGCAGAGTGTGGGAGGTTGAGCAGCAAAGGCAGGGAGAGAGGGACAGGGCTTCATCTAATCCGCTGGCCCTGTGCCTGCATCCCTGGCCAGAGGGGCCACAGTGAGGGGTCCTAGGAGTTGGGTTGCTATTGAGGCTGCCCACCGTGTAAGGAAACTGTTGCCTACCTCCCGGCCTTCCCTGAGTTGACCCATCACCTGCCTGGGCTCGGAGCCTCACCCCCACATTGCCTGGCTACCTCATGAAGACACCTCTGTCCCCAGGGCTCCCGAGCTGGGGATCAAGAGAAGAGATGGCCTATCCCAGGTCACAGAGCACTTGGTCCTCTCTCAAGTCTTGCGGAAGGGGTAAGATTGTGCCCCAGTCACAGGGTGGAGCTGGCCTCCAGCCCAGCCCTCTCTTCCTATTTCTCCTGCCCGGGGGAGGGGGGGGAAGATTCCCACCCTCCCTTTTGTGATGAGGAAACCGAGGCCCTTCCACAGAGATCAAACATGTTCTCAAGGGCAACTGGCCATTGCCATGGAGTAAGGTGAGGACCAGGTCTAATGGCTCCAAAAACATCAGGGAGGGCTGAGACTCAGGGCGCCAGGATGGGAGGCTAGAAACTTCCGAGGGGAGGTCACTCTTCCAGCACAGTCCCCTAGGAGCCCCGGGTGGGCCTGAGGTTGTCACTCCACTCGAGGAGGAGGCCGGACCTCACTGTAGCTGTGTTTCCTAAAGCCCACAAGGTGGTCTGCTGGGGGCCAAGAGGGCCTGGCCAGCTGTGGACAGCCTCTGCAGAGGCTGAGCCCTTCAGGAGCAGGTGGCCAGCAACCTGCCTCAGAGAGGAGTTAGGAGGAGCCAAACTTTCCCAACCCCTGGGCCATCCCAGCTTCTGGGGGCATGGGGGGAGCTGGGGGCTTCTTCCTCCTTCTGGGATCAGGCCCATTGTTCCTGCCAACAGAGGTTCTTTTATAGTTTCTGGTGGAAGGTTGGCCCCGTTTGGCCAAAGTCTTTAGGGCACTGTCCTGCCTCCCCCAGGGAGCCTTCCCTGACTGCTCCTCTCAGAGACCCTTGCCTCAGGGCTGGGAGGCTGCACCCCACACCTCTCTGGGCTCTTCCGCCTGGGCCACTGGCTCTGCTCTCCCTGACCAGCCCGAGAATCTTCCCAGGGCAGGACCTGGATCTGCTCCTCCTCTGACACCCCTCCCCCTCTCCCTGGGCTGGGCATTGCCCCCTGTGCCTGCTGTCCAGGGGGTAGGAGCCGTGGAAGGCCTGACAGGTGGCCTTCAGGCAGACTTCCTCTTCTGAGACACTGGAGGTTTTCTTTCCTTTTTTGCTTCCCTGTTCAGAGATTCCCCCTTCCCTGACTGAGGTCAAGGCCCCATAAACGGGAGTGATAAGGCCTTGGGCCTTTACACTGAACTTTGCAGCTGCCATTTTATGGCTCCATTAACGTCAGCCCCCCTCAACCCTGAGTCTGGCTGGAGCGGGATTGCCTGGTGTCCCTTCAGGGTGGGAGCTGGTGGGGAGGAGGTAGAAGTGGAGAAGGATGTGGGGACTCCTTCATTCCAGGCTGCCCTCATCCAGTCCTTCTCCCTCTGCGGTCCCAGCCCTGCACGGTGCTGGGCGGACAGCGAGGATGACAGATGGAATGGTCAGAAGAGCCCAGGCTGGGAGGTGGGTAGGGCTGAAGAGTGGGGTCAGAGTGGGAAGGGCTGAGTGGGCTGGAGCAATCAGGGAAGGCTGTCTGGAGGAGGTGATGGAGTAGGGTATTAAATGAATAAAATGTAGAAAGACAGGGGAGCATAGGCATTGGAGGAGCCAGGCTTGGACTGTCTCAGGAGGTGGGGGGCAGATGTGGCCAAGAAGGAAAGGAGACGCTGCTGAAAGCACCCTGCCCCTGGGCTGAGAAGCCTCCAAGGCTGGGGAATGGTGTATCAGTGGTAGTCCCAAGAACTGGGGCTCATCCAAGGAGAATGTGTGGTCAGAGCCCAGTGGGGTGAGCCAGAGGGCTGTGGGTAAGGCCTGGAAGCTCCATGACACTGAGGGGCTCTAAGTGGTGCAGAGGTCTGGGGCTGTGGCCTTAGGGCCAGAACCCAGCGAGGCTTTGAGAGCTCAGGAGGTGGGTCTCATGCCTCTCAGTGGGAGGAGGGGAGGCTCCCACCAATTGTTAACAAGTTCTGCTCCCAGGACAGGCAATGAGTTTCTTGTCCCCAGGATGTCAAGACATTAGCTAGATGGAAACAGAGATTCCTGCTTTGATGGAGGTGATGGTAAGGGAGGTAATCATGGGATAGAAGACACTAGGTGATCAATATACTCTACCCACCCACCAGTCAACCTGGAGCTGGTGTCAGATCTGAGACCCACTTGGTTTTTAGGCTCTGACTAAGCAGCAACCCCTGATTCCTCAAGTCTTGGGATAGGGAGAGAGAGAAAATCAACCTCAGTCCAGGACTGATTAGTGGGGGACAGGTGTCTTTGGGACTTATTTTGCCCATCTGTAAAATGGGCTTGGGTGGATTCAATGAGTCTTGAGGTCTTCCCTGATCTTAGAGGGAGATGATCCATGCATCTCCCGCCTGAATCAGCATCTGTCCTAGAGGTGAACCACCCAGAGCCACACACGAGGGCACAGCCACGCGGGGCGGGGGGGGGGTGGCTCACTGGCACACATACATCAAAGGCATACAGACACCTATGTGGGGAGGAAGCAGAAGCGGGAGAAAGAGGACGCCACTGCTTCTTGGCTGTGTGCACCTTGCTCAGCTTTCTCCAAGCACATGTCTGGCCCTTCCTCATAAACACCGCCCTCAACCTCTCACTGCCCACCACCTTCCACCTGGGGCTCTTACCTGGCAGCTCTGCTCAGTGGGAGGGCACAGGAAGGGCCTGCCAGTCAGCCACCTTATCCCAAAAGCCCTTGCCCAGCGGGTCTGCTGCTGAGACGTCACTCCTACACGTAACACACAACGCCCCACCGATACCTCCAGAGGGGCACAGCACACAACGACGACCCCCACAGACACCCTCTCTGCCACCCACTGTCTACCAGGCCTTCCATTTCAATCGACCACAGTCCCCCACCCTGCACCCACTGACTTCCCCGCCCCACGCAAAACGCAGCCACTACACCGAAGGCAAGTTTATGGAGCACGCTCTCTCCTGGCGCCCCTCCACCGGTGTCCCAGATCGCCGCTCTGAGCAGGCCCTCAGCAGTGCTGGGAGGGACTAGGAGCGACCAGGACCCCACCCCTCGGGTCTAGATCCGGTCCGAGGCTGAGCTGGGAGGCGAGACCCGGTGCTCCGTGCCCCGCATTCCCTTTACACAGACGTGCGCACAGACGGCCCGGCTCCCACCGCCCCCACTCCACCGGCGGAGGCCGAGGCTCTGGGCTGCCCGGCGGGCACTCACCGCGGGGCCGAGGGCGCAGGCGAGGGCGCTGGCCAGCACACAGAGCCAGCCGGCGGGCGGCGGGCTGCTCGGACGCATGGTCCGCCCTGAACCCGCGGCAAGCGGCCCGGCCCGGCGCAGGGAATGGGCGGGCAGGCGGCGCACCGCGCGGTCGACGGCGGGGAGCCCCGGCAGAGTGGCGCGGTCGCGGTGGCCCCAGCGCGAAGAGGCGCAGCTCGGTGCTGGAGGCGGGCCCCGGGGGCTCGTCTGACGGGCGGCGGGTCTGGCCAATGGATCGGCAGAGGCGGGGCCGCCGCTCAGGTGTGGGGCGGGGCTGGGGGGGCTCTCCTGCCAGTGGGGAGTCCCCGCGCTCCCTCCGCCGATCCCCGCACGTCAGTCCTCAGTCGCCTGGCATTCACAAGCCTTCTCCCCTTCCGACCGCATCCTCGGTAGTCTCAAGACCCCAACACGCCGCATCCTTCCCTGCTTAGCTCACAACGTTTCCAAGCGCCTGGATGCCATCTCCCACTCCCGCACAACCCCCTCAGCCCCGCCCCAGGCCCCAGGACGCTCTCCACGTCCACCTTCAGAGCTACCTCCTCCAGGAAGCCTCCCAGCCAGCCTCCCCATTTCCCCCATTATTGCGCCTCGGAGGACTGGTGCGGGCGGGCAGGACTACGAGACAGGACAAGTCACTTCTTATCCCCCAGGCTGTGGGCTGCGGCCTGAGTAGGGTCCTAGGTTGTAAGCGACCCGGAGGTGGGGCATGTGGTTTGATCCATTTTCAATCGCCCCAGCTCATCCCTCCTCCCGACGGGCCGAGCGAGGGGAAACAAGGGCGCGAGTGAGGCCCGACTCCGGGTTCCTCGGTGCCCCGCCCCCGAGCCCAGGCGACCCGGCAGGGCGCGCTTGGCACTGGCTGGGCTCCCGGGCCCTTCACGACCCGAGAGTGAAGGGTCGTGCTTGAGGGAGGATGGCACGTCCGCGCCTTCGCGAGTCACGGCCCCGGCACCTCCCGAGGGAGGCTGGGCCGAAGTTCCAGCGCCCCCACGCGGGGAGGGAAGATCTGTCCCTGGTGCTCAGGACCAGGCTGCACAACCTACCTGAAATGAAGCAGGAGACTTCCTCCTCCTCCCGCCTTCCCTGTTTTACAGCCGGGGAAACTGAACTGCAGAGAAAGGCCTGGCCTCGGGCCGCCTGCCTCTGGTGCCTCGCTTCCAAGCCTGAGCGGGTCGGGTGCTGGGTGACAGCGGACCAGCTTGTCTCCACTTCGCGTCTTCGGGGCTCAATTTTATTCGTCCCTAAAATGAGGCGACGGTTCAACCAGCGCCGCGCCCCAGAAGGTCTTCTTGTAGACCAAGAGCAGGTGGATGCCTTGCCCTCTTTCCGAGGGCTCGGAACGGTGTGATGGAGGCTGGAGGTGGCCGTGGTGGCGGCAGAGATAGGGTGGATGGTGGATGAATGTGATAAGGGGATGACAGTGTCCAGTGGAGGGGCGGGGAGGACTGGCGAGTTCCTCGGTCTCCCAACGGGAAGCGAGGCTCCTTGATGGAGGTCCAAATCCGGGCGCTGGCTGACCAGCAGGTGCATCAGAGTTCCCCCGCGGACCCACCTGGCTTCCCTCCTTACAGCGCGGGGATACTCGGGCCGCTGACTTTCTGGCGTGGGATGAAGTTATGGGGAATTAGGGAAAAGCCTGAAAGGGATGAGCTCCCAGCCCCTCCTCAATTTAGGTTTATTTGGGGTGCTAGCGTTTCCTTCCTCCTTTTCTCCCTCTCTCCCTACCCCCCACCCTTGCACATTTATTAATAGCTTGCAGTGTGCCGGACTCTGTGCTGTGCGTAAGACATTGGGACCTCTTGCCAGAGGAGAGCTATTGTACTCTCCACAATTTCCACCTTCTTCCAGATGAGCCTGGACATAAACCCTTCCCCCACAGGGAAACAGGGGAGATGCCTCTGCCTCTGACCTGGCCATTCTAGGGTTTGGACCCAATCCCTTAGTGGAGGATGTGTTTGAAGACTCTCCAGGCTTCTTAGGCATCTCCACTTCTGGGGGCCAAGTTAGGCTCAGGAGCCAGGGGTCCTTGCCTCCCCTTGTGACCCTGACAGAACCCCTTCTCAGGCCTCAGTTCTCCAGCAGGACAGTGGAATTGGGTCCGAGTTCTGGGGAGTCACCTCTGCTGGCACCGTGTCCTAGGAGTCCTAGACATGAATGGCAAATCCGTGGGCTTTGGCTCTCATAAACCCTTGCCCACTCTACACACACACGCACAAGCACACGCACACGCATATGCACACACATATGTACACACCGCCTCGCCAGTCACAGAATGCTGAAATCCCATCATTAAAGCTTGTCTCTTGGTCTATTGAAGTTCTGCTCTCTCCGAGGACAGGAATCTTGGGTACTTGAGAGTACTTTGTGATGGGGGTGAAGATTGGGGAATTAGGAAGGAGCCAGACCCCACTTTGCCACCTGACTACTGGGAATCTTAAGGCTCCCAACCAGAGATGGGCTGCCATTCCTCTTGCTCGGGAGGGTGGTCCACAAGAAACCTCTTTAGCTTCCTGGGCAGGCTAGCGGCAGTGAGAGTGACTGGCAGGGCCTCTCCACGCTCAGGCAGACCCCTGGCTCCCAGGAAGGAAGCAGGTGACTAAGGGAAAATCGTTTCCCTGCAGATTCTTTGCCATGAAAATTACTCCTTTGTTCTTTCAGAATTGTTCCCCTGGGGGACCCACCCTTCCTTACATATCAAAAGGCACAAAACAAATTCAGAAGGGAAAGAAGGAGCAGAAAAAAAGAAAAGAGCAAACACAAACAAAAACTTAAAGAATTCAGCCCAGGTTAGATTTGACCACGTTTTTTACTAACGGTTTCTGCTTGTTTGGTTCTGTGTTTGGAGGCCCAGGGGGCATCACCTGAGAGTCCTGAGGGATCTTATAGGGAAGCCATTCTTTCACGAGTCCAATGGTCTGGGAAGGCTTCTGGGGGGAGGGGGTCAATTTCAGAAGTTGCGGGTTGGGTGGGGGGCGGGTACCTGAGGGGGTAAGAAGCGGGGACTTGGATCTTTGTTCCTCATCTGCAGTTGTCCTTTGCTTCAGCAGTCCAGGCTTGGGGAGGGGGCGGCAGCCACCCTCTGCCCCCCTGCTCCCCCATATCCTTTTGCACTGATTCCTGTTCTGAGGTGTCCCTTCCTGGATCCCCTGTCTGTGGCCCAAACCCCAGAGCCCTCTGGGCTGCCGGCTGCCTGCCGGAAATCACAGGGGTGCAGAAGATGGGGGGTAAGAGAGAGAGGCAGTCACTTGCCATTCCCCGTGACGACAGGCACGGCAGGAAAGAATCTGCAGTTACTCATTTGGAGCCTGCCTGGCTTCCTGGCTGCCTGCCTCATTCCTGCACTGAGTGCCACCCTTGCCTCCCCCAGTCCTTCCCCACGTCCCTGAGTCGTGCGCTCACTGCTTCAAGGCTCCCAGCTCAGGAACTCACTGGTGGTGTGGTGCTGCAGTAGAGTGGGAATGGTGCCTGGGGACCACAGTGTAGTTTTGGCTTGCATGGGGGGAGGGGGGGTGTTGGGCAGGCAGGGATCTGGCCTGGGGAGTCACTGCTCCAGGATTCCCCTTCCAGAGCATGCACATCCTTGTGTGGATGCAGCCTCTCTTGCCCTTCTTTGGGGTCCATTCTTCCTGTGAGAAGATGCATTTTCACCGCAAGCTGTGGTTTGGTGGAGGGCAAGTGGGGCCCAGACAGGTATTTAAAGAAACGATGTTCCGTCCAATGTCCCTTCCTTAACAGCAGGCAGCAAATAGCATTCCTTTATCCCGTATGTATCACCCACCTACACTGGTGTTGGCCAGTGACAGGCTCTGCAAATGCCTCTAGGGGAATCTAGCCCTGCTTGCAGGGGGGGGGGGGGGCGCGGGGGGGGCGGTTTCCGGTGGTGCTAGAGCTGCACCTAGGAAGAAACCAAAGTTCACGGGAGCACAGGTGATGGAGGGAGAGTTGTCCTGACATGACAGGTGGGGACCAGTTCTGGAATGGCCTCTACCATCCCTTGGTCCTTGAGGTCAGGGCTTAGAGGGAACAGAGAGGACGATGCGTCATTTCAGGCCCTCCCATGAGCAGATGCCACGATGGAACTGAGACAGTGGAAGTTGGTAGGTGGCAGGGGAACCCTGCGAAAGATAACGGAGGAGAGAGCAGGATCAGGCAGAGCCTCTGCCAACCTGTCAGCCAGCTCCAGAGCAAAGATGGCCCTCAGAAGCCTTAGTAACTCCACTGTGCTCAGTCCACGCCTGGGAGCTGTCTGGGAAGAGCAGGGCTTCAGCTCCAATGCTGGGGTAGATCCTGAAAGTGCCACCTCTAGAGGCATCAACTCACTGCATTCCTCACAGCTGAATGGCGAGTTCTTTCTTGAGGGAAGGTCCAAGTGATGCATGTCTAAGGCTACCACAGAGGGGAAACTGAGGCATGGATAATGAAGGGAGTCGGAGCACTCCTGCTCCGGGAGTCAGAAAGAGGAGACTCAGGTCCTACTCTCAGGGAGAGCCAAGTCTGTCTGGGCACACAGAGGGATGACTTGAGAAAGAACTCCTTTTTTCAAAATCCCAAGGCTCAGTTCAGTCCAGGGGGTTAGCCGCCTGTCATCGTGCCACTTGGCATGCGGGTCATGGTGCAGTGGTTCTGGGAGACTCTAGAAGGGGAGGACTCCCCATTTGCTCTCTAACAACAGTCTCTTGGTCAAATTCTTACTGCAACGTCTTTGTGCACGGGAGTGCATGTGAGCGTGTCCATCTATAAGAGCATGGGGTGTCTGAGAGCCGGGCTTGGCCAGTGTGTGTTGGGAGGTGGAGTCCGGGGCAAGGTTCTGGGTAACTAGGGGCAGAGAAGGAATGAATGTCATGGAGAGTGCCCAGGACCACAGTACCAGGGTGTCCCTCAGAGCTTATTCCTGGGGCAGTGGACTCCCGTGGGGGTTGGAGCACTCCCACCCCACGAAGAGCTCAGACTAACCCCACAGGAGATCTAAATTTACACTCTCACTTCCCCACTTCCTGGCCCTGTGTTCTTGTGAATCGGTGTGTAGCTGATCTCAGGCA